GTTGTTCTGCACCACGCGTCCCTGTTTCAGCAGAATCACAAAAAAAAAGGCTCTTTCAGAGCATAGCGCTACGAATGACAACAGCATCTATTGTAAACCCAGAGGAAAAAGGGTGAGAAATGTTGCAGAGTTGCCATATAGCACTTCACACAGTGCATACCAAAACCAAAAGCATAGGAAAATATCCCTTGGGAAGCCAGGGATGGGTAGAAATGTTTGTCATCAGGAGGATCAGAGCTACTGAATAGTGTCAAACCTGGAAGGAGGGTTCTCATTTTTACTATAAATGGAACAGTGCTGATGGACGTGGCTGGACACCCTCTACCCATGCTGTGCACACAGCAGCAATGGAACTGTTTCCACATGCTGCCCCTTACTCCAGCCCTGACCTTGTGGGAATATCTGTGGGGAAGGGAGGATAGTTCAGTTTCCAAAGCACAAACTCTTCTTATGAGGCCAAGATGTTTCCATTCTATTTGAGTTGCTCGCCCACAGCGATGTTCTCTTACACACATTGTACTTTCCACGTCATCTACTACAGGCTCCCGAGGGAGAGGATTCAGCAACCTCAAAAAGAAATCCTTAAGGGGTTTCCATGAAGAGCAATGTGACAAAATTAGGGACAGGAAATCCAGAAATAGAGGACTTTGTGCCATGTTTAACCAAACTGAACTATATATTTAAACGGTTGTCTCCCTTACATCCCAAAATAGGATCAAATATGATTTATCGTGGCTGTCACAATAGCATCTGAGGACACTTCCTTTCCCTTTGGCCTCAGGAGCAGAACAACTCTGTGCTGGGTACAATTATGGTGCTAAAACAGCAGTCTTGTCCCCAGGCAATATCTTCTGAGGTTGCTGCTGAAGCATTTTTGACACATTATCCCCGTGATCAAGCTCCACACAAGGTGAAATCCCAAGCCCACAGAGATAGGCTGGCTCCCTAAGCACATCCCATTCCAATCTATTCCTAAAATATGGTTTTTATTTGCCATTCCCACCTATTTAGTTATTGGGAGCAAAAGGGTGTTTAAACCCCTACTTTTATTTACAAGAAGAACTGGCCTTTGGGCCCCAAGTTTGCAATGAGGAGCAAAGATGGTCAGACAAAGCCTCGAAGATCAGTCTGGTGGTGCTGGGAAGATCATCAGGAGCAGGGATGTGTATATGAGCCACCAAGTTTGTGTTTAATCACAGCATCTGACAAGCAACCTGTGTTTCCCCAGCACCACATTTAGTGCTTCTGCTCAGAAAGGAGCTGTAGTGCTCCAGCCATGGCACCACAACCTCACTTTGCTCTACAGAAACATCTGAGAGGTACTCAAGGCAAATATCACTGGTACAAACAGCCTTTTAGAGGAAAGATCACTTTTACCAGTGAGAAGTGGGAGTTTTGCCATCACTCTTTCCCCTAGGCAGAAGGGAATCACCATTTCCCAACACATTGGTGTCTTAGCAAGGTTGCTCATCTGTTATTCCTTGTGTAAAGTGGATGAGGAACAATTATATCCAGTTTTAAAGGCAATTTGACCTTATATGAAAAGCACTATGGTAATGGCAAATATTTTTATTTTTACAAAACTCCATCTCTGAAGATGTGTAGGGCTGCCAACAACAACAAAAATAGCAAATCTTAGCAAAGCCATAGCCAAAAGCAACACAGGCCAGTAAAGAAATCTGTGCAAAATTTGGTGTGAAAATAGCATCATCTCTGTGCAGCATGCAAAGGAGCAGATCTGTGCATGGAGCAACCCAAGGAGTGGGCAGGGAAATGTCCAGAATCTGCCAAATGTTTTCGAAGTTGCTCAGAGTTTTGCAAACACAGTCCCTTTAATTTAAGCTATTGTTTCTCCAAGAGAATTTGAATTGAAAACATGGGTTTCTTAGCTAAATATAAGTCCATTGTGCACAAACAATGAAAATCTCTTCTCAAAACAGCTCTTTCTCTACATGCCAAGGGTTATACAATCTCAAATAGGGTGAATCCTTCTGAGTGGTTTCACTCAGTGCAAAGCCTGTTTTGACAACCTAGAGATTCAGATAAGGAAAACCTCTGGCTTTGATTCTGTATCTTACCCTGACTCTTTCAGGCTTAGAGACTAAAAGTTATGATTTGGGATGGAAGAGCTTGAGAATAGATTTAAGATTTTGGAGAACATGCTGCTTTTTTTAGTGTCACTAAACCCCCTTCTTCCTGGACAGAGATTGCTGCTCACAGTAGGAACAAGCTAACCCTGGGTTAGGGCATAAGGAATTCAGATTGAACCATATTAGTAAAAGAACTAGAAATGGATTGGTCTGCATCCAGGGTGCAGTCTAAAACTGCTTTCCCATTTGTTTTAAGCAACCAGAAGCCATCACAGCTGCCAAAAGAAGCAGTTCAACATTTCCTCCACCATTGGTCTTTCATTCCTGCCCCCACACATCTCCCTTCTTGTGTCAGCACCAGCATCCATCCATACAGGCACATGGTAAACAGCTTCTCCAGCCTCTCCTCATGCAGGAGCTGCTCCACAGCCATGATCAGTTTTGGTACCCTACCGTGCACCTTCACAGCATCCACCATGGCTCTGAGATGCAGAGAGCTGCAGGCCGTGCTACAAGAATTCATTTAAGCAGCAAAATCCTAGCCTACATCTCCTCCATTCACCTCCCAAGGATACCAAACAGTTTGTTGGCTCTTTTTGCTGCTGTTTCACACATTGTGAACTGCCAGTGATGACTGTAGGAACTCTTGTTCACCTGCTGACTTTATGTGCACTCACTAACTTTTGTGAGATCCTTCTGGAGTTCCTCGGCACTGGCACAACATCTGGTTACCCAAAAGGACTTTAACTTGTGTTTCTGTTGATTGTGTTGCTTCTCTTTTGGAGCCAGCCAGCAGATCTGTATTCTTCTAGGAATCATAGAATCATAGGATGGTAGGATGGTTTGGGTTGAAGGGACCTTAAAGCTCATCCAGTTCCAGCCCCCTGCCACAGGCAGGGACACCTTCCACTAGAGCAGCTTGCTCCAAGCCCCTGTGTCCAACCTGGCCTTGAGCACTGCCAGGGATGGGGCAGCCACAGCTTCTCTGGGCACCCTGTGCCAGTGCCTCAGCACCCTCACGGGGAAGAACTTCCTCCTGATGTCTAATCCAAACCTACTCTCTATGTCTTTGCTTATATAGAATATTCTCCATGATCTTGCTTAACTTATCTGGCTTTTTTTCCCTGGGCTGAAACTCTTCTGGCCACCTAGAAGCTGATGGATATTTTCCTGTTTGTTTTTATGGGACGACTATTGTGATGAATGCTTTTATATTACTAACATATGCTTTTAATAGCAAATGGTAACACAGGTTCCAACATCCTACACTGAGGTGGACAGTTACTGCTGCTAGCTAATCCCAAAATTTATGATGTGTCCAGCTCACAAAGTGCCCTGTTAACTGACCGCAAGTTCTTGAGCGTTTTCCCATTCCTCCTCTCATTTTGCCTGTTCTTACAAAACTCGTGTGAGATTAAAGCATCCTGGTAATGACATTTCCTGGAAAAGGCTTTTCAGTGTTTGGGCCTTTGACAAAATCAGGCAGCAAATTCACACTGGAAGATTTGAAAACCATTCACATAGAAGCCATGTCCCAAAAGACACATGATCTGGTGGCTCCCCCCCCCCAGTACAATGAGCTTCGTTGCCCTCCAGACATTTTGTTCCACCTCTTCATCAGCTGATTGTCATGGTGGTCAAAGTAATAACACTTCTTGCTTACACAGCAACTCTGCACAAGTACTGCTTCAGAAGTAGTTTTTGGAGGGGAAACAGAGCCTTAGAAAAGTGACATGTCCATAAATCTTCTGACTTTGTGCTTATTTCACTGGGCTGCTGTGCACTAAAGCTGGATTTTTCTAAAGCCAGTTCACACTCAACATATCCTCTGTGATGCTGGCATGGAAATTGAGGCTGTTTGAGAGCCTGGCCCCCAGTGCTTTTGGAAGGGGCAGTGATCCAGAGACCTGACCTGATTTCCCCTCCTCTTGTGCTAGCTCAGAACCGTACCCCTGGGTACTAAAACCTGCTGGGGAGAACTCATGTGGATACTGTGATCGAAAGCAGTGGTGTGAAAGTAGCTGGGCAGAAAAGGCCCTTTTGATGGCTTCAGCCTCTATGCAATGAGCCATGCCTATCTTCTGCCTACCAGAAGCATCCAGAAGATGGTAAAATATGCATCCTCAGGTCTTTATGTTTTGTGGGTGGATTAGCTTGTGGTGCCACTTCCCATTAACACCAGGGCTCCCACACAGCGTGACAGAGTCCATGTCTCAGAAGTTGCTGCCTGCTCCACACTTACCTCTTGCCACTGCTGCCTAAATCTGCTCCTGTCCCTCACAAGCCTCTTTAGAGACATTTGTCAAAGATGAATGCTCCAACTATATTTTCTATAGTTGAATTTACATCTGGTTTATATTATTTGCAGTTTTGCTTTATGTGGGTCATTCCCTCCCCACTGCTCTTCTCTTTTTCTTCCCATTATCCTTGAGAACTGAGAGCTGATTGTACCTAGTGTATGGTTACATGCTGTCATCCCAACAGACCTTGCAGCCGCCAGCTGTCTTCAAACAACGAGTTTTCCTATGGAAGTCATTCTTTCTTCATTCCCTCTGTCTGGCTTACCCCTCTGAAGGATACTGAGTCCTTCCTAAGCCTGTCGCCAGCTCTAAATTCACTTTTCCATGTTTGGAGAAACTGCAATGTCCCAACCCAATGCTAACCCACATTCCAGCAGGCCATTAAGACCAACGATGTGTATAAACCAGCAGATCAAATGTATCCTGGAGGATACATATGTGAGCTGGTATTCTGGAATAACCCACAGCTGCCTGAAAACTCTGTGTGTGTGCGTGTGGGGAGGAAATGTGTTTGTTTTCCTGGAGGGTCCCATCAGCTTCAGCACACCGAAGGGGCCCAACTGCAGGACACAATAGGAAAGGGAGAACAGAGCACGGAGTTGGAGCCAATTGAAAATGCAAAGTAGACAGGCAGAACGGGATTATTCTGAGTGGAATTAGAGCAGGGCAGGGGGGTGCCTGTATCTCGCTGAAAACACCACCGTGGTGACTGTGAAACACAAGAATCTCGTTTTAGCAAAGAGCCAAGGGACAGCACAGCAAACAGGCAGTGCCGAGAGATAAAGCAGGGAGCAGGGAGGTGGTGGATGGAGGCACACGCTGGTGCCCGGCTGGAGGAATGTCATGGCTTCACTTGTGATTGGCTGGGGAATGGAGGAGTCAGTTTTCACGGGGGCTGATCAAAAAGTTCCCTTTTGCTTTCCCAAGTTGCTGTCTGAGCAGAGGCATCGGGAAGAGGAGCCCGGCCGCGCTAACATTCCTCAGGAACACTGCTTAAATGAAATGAGAAGGCTTCTCTGTCCAAGGATATACAGCCAAGAGCAGACGCCGGGAAGCTGTTTTCCTTCTTTCCTCCCCCAAGTCCTGCAGGAGTTGAGCAGCTCTCCTTCCTGGCATGCGTCTCATCTCTCAGGATACTATGTCACAGTATTCTACTAACTTTCTCTTGCTCCCCATACCCGAGTATCCCGTGTTAGACTGCGTGCCTAACAAAATCATCAAGCTCGTGGTGCTGGGCGGCAGCAGCGTTGGCAAGACAGGTAAGTCCACAGGTGTAGCACTGTGCTTCTCTTGCTGCTGTACTTACAAGCTCGTTTGCAGCTCAGATAGACCCAAGCCTGTGAATTAACTGTTGCAGCTTGAACACTGTAAGTGATTTGGGGTTTTTCTGCGCTGAATAATGGGTGAGGCAGCTATGCTGTAGGTCTGTGCGAGCAGCCAACGTAAGGTGGCAGTTAGGAGGAGAGAGCACTCTTGGGAGCTCTGTGCTCGCAAATGATCCTACCTGGTCCTGTGCAAATTATTTAGCCATGTCTAAATTTATACACCCCCCAAAAGCAGTCTTTATTCTCCTGTTGTAAATGTTTTATGCTCTGCAGATAAATAGCAGCATACGAGATGTGTCTCCCTTATTATTCTCCAGAGGAGAGGAGAAGAGGGCAATGTGAGAATTATTGCTTTGGATATATGGTTCCTGATTTCAGGTGTCATTAAGGCTAATTCTGTTTTACTACATCTGAGGCTCCTCAGGGCTCAGTAAAATGTTTGGTTGCTTTGGATTTGAAGCCGCATTTTGATCTCATGTTTAAGTAGTGTGTTGAAGAGAGCTCTGAAGTCAATTTGATTTAAGGGTACTAAAGAGGTGACCTGGTATCCACTGTGAGAAACGTGTTATTTTAAATTAAATCTGTGATAGAGTTGTTTGCAGAACAACCCCTTTTATTTAGCTATTAACTAAATGGTTTTGCAAATGATTAGGAATCCTCTGAGATGAAACACTACAGGAATAAAAGTTACTGTTTCCGCAACAGGATCTGAAGTGTTATAAATTGAGCAAGAAAAAGGAAACTCTTCCAATCCAACAGCGCAAGGAGGGTGAATAGGAAGGCCCAGGGCGCTGCAGCACAACCCATGTGTGCAGAGCACATGCAGTTTGTTTGCTGGATGTGATTAGGTTGCGTTAATGGGTTTCATGAGGAGGAGTGAGCAGTTTTAAGGCTGGGAAGAACCATTGCATCCATCAGCCTCACTTTGTGTATGACACAGAGGTCTCAAGTGTGGTATTTGGATTAGTTTCAGTTTCCTGGCTTGTTCCTCTTTTTCCAAATCATGTCAAAACAGAGGTCAGGCTTGTACCTGCAGTCACAACAAAGCAACCTCCCAGTCCTACACTAAACAGTGACACGCAGTCTAAGGAGTCATTTCCAGTACAAGCTGTGAAAAACCCTGTGTTAGGTATAACAGCCTGGCCCCAAATACTCTTCTGTGAGTGTTGAGAGAAGCATTTGCCGAGTAATATGTGAGCAATTCAAAGATTAATGTGGTTTCATATTATCCTAACTCTTCCAGTAAGATGTGACACGTGTTCTGCAAAGATTGATTTTGGTTCACATTAAAGACCCATCTTTTCTGCGTTGTTTTACAGCCCTGGTTGTGCGCTTTCTCACAAAGAGATTTATTGGAGACTATGAGGCCAACACTGGTGAGTCTGCTTTGCACTGCAGCACTGAAATCTGCTCTATTGTGTGACTAGTGCATATTACAGGAAAGCCAAGCTGTGTTATATGTCCATAAGATGCATATTTTCAGTTAATAGCCTCAAGCTATGAAAGCAATAAATCAAAGCCTCGTTATTTATGATCCTGTTAGCTGGGCTTTTTCCAGCTTGGTGGAAAAGGATCAGAGTAAAAGGTTTGCTTGGGGACATATCTATACTAAAATGCAGGCTCAAGGAACAACTTGCATATGGACAAAACCATGGAATCCCAACACAGCTCTCTTTGAAACTCCAGGGAAGCCAGAGGAATTCCGAAGTGCGTAAAAGGCACTTCAGATGTTTTTCTGTGTACTCCCTTTTACTTTTGGTGGCTTTTAGGACAAGGGAGACTTCCAAATCGAAGTCTTCTTTCTATAAGATAAGTAAAATGACCATGCATTTTTTTGTTTAATCTAACACCTCAGAGGAGGTGTAAATGTGAACTGTTTAATTCACAGCCTCTCTTCTAAGCAAGTGCCAAGTGTACTGGCCATGTTGTATGTACCCTGTACTCATACCGACTGGCACATCCCACATGTAGACCACCTCACATTTTTGAGGTTAAGGAGAACAGGAAACAAAGGGGTGATTGCTTCACTTTGGATGTATGTGCTGAACTTAGAATGATGAGTTAGGAAAGGAGATGGCAGTGAAAGACCCTTTGATCTCTGCCTATCTGATGAAATACAATCTGAAAGCTCCTCCTTCCAGCTCCCTCTCACTGACCCTATGTAACCTTGATGGTTGGCTGCACTGTTGCTCTTTCTTCTCCTTCTTCTCTTCTATGAGAGATTGTACATCAAGTCAGAATTCTGAGCTTTACAATGGATTGCTGCCAGAGACATTGCTGGGAACCACATGCTTTTCTCATTAAGCTACCAGCTCAACAGCCATGCTGTAGAAGAAATAAATATGCCAGAAATAGGAAGCAGGTGGCAGTGTATTTGTGATCATTCAACCATGCTTCTCCTTCACTTGGCTGTCAGGCGGAGCACACTCAGTGTCTGGAAGTACCTGCTCTGTTTGCTGCTATGCATTACAGAGTAGGAATAGTATGTTGTCTGGTCTTGGTTCAGGAGTGCAGCATCTTCCCATAGATCAGTACCATCTTTTCAGCTGAAAATAGGATTTAAAAATTATCCCAGAAGGGTTAGATCACCTCACAGAGTCAGTGTTAAACCATAATGTGATAATGTTGGATTCAGATGCAGCCATTTAGACTTCCTCATATTGCAAATGTTTCTCTGAGCTCGGACTCCTTTCCACTGGAATAAACCCACCTTTTTTCCTTGAGCCAAAGATGATTTTCAGAGGTGATGGCATTATCATCGCTAATTGACCTCCCTGTTACTCTGAATTTCCTACTCCCCAAGAGATGAGATTTCTCTATACATTATTTTAGATGCAGCACTGACAATTGCACTTGGACAAGGCTGAAAGGCTGCACACAGCACCTGTTGCTGTAGCATTTCTTCACATATCCATGAGACTTGTATCAAGTTCTAGAGAAAATTGATGCTGACTTCAATCTCTGAAGCTGTCCTTATCACAACCACAGGTAGTTAATGAAGTTTTCATTGTCACTTAACCCACACTCCAGCAACAAACTAAAGTTCATGCCCAGAATAGTGATGGTTTTATTAGAGCTGGGTCAGTCCTGGATGCTTTGAGCTAGCACTTGGCTCTGAATATGTGTCATGCAGATTAATAAGATTCAAAGTGTCCAGTCTTTGGGGATTTTAACCAAACTCTGACTGCTAAGGTTACGTATATCCCAAAGAGCATCTTTGTGATTTGTATAGAGTCACTTACCCTGTGTCTGTAACTAGAATGCTTCCCTTTCTTAAAAGCTTCCTGAAAAATGCACTAGGACACAGCTCACCCCTTTTACAGACAACCCCTCAATGTCTTGGGTTGAGATTAGAAATACAGGAAGTCCAGATTTCAAAAGCTAACAATGTGGACTGAAAACATCCACTTTTACTATTTGACTCTACACAAAGTGCCACCTTCCCCAGCTACCCTCCTAGGTATGCATTCAGAACGTCCACACAGCAAATACAAACCCACTTCACGTAAGCAAACAGCCACACAACCACTCTGGTGCCATGCGCTTTTCCATAAGCACCTACAAATCATAAGCCTCAAATATGTGTGTTTCAACAGTTCTATTTTACCTTTATGTACTCTTTCTTCTTTGTTACAGTCACTGACTCTAATGATGTTACTTTTCCACCAGGTGCTTTGTATTCAAGAAAGTTCACCATAGATGGGGAACAGATCTCTCTACAGGTGCAGGATACTCCCTTTGTTTCATTGGAGGTAAAACATCTGCTCAGTGCATTGTACTTTACAACACAGTCATTGCTTCTTGCTTGTTGCCAGCACTTCCATCTGTAAGTAACTCCATTTAGCAGCAGAAAAATACCAGAGCTGAAATTCAAAAGAAGAGTAATGGATGTCCCTTAAACCCACCAAAATGAGCCTTGAAGAGGTTTAATCTGGCTCCTTTAAGTAAGTCAAAATTAAACCAAATCTATTTCAAACATATCACTGCATCCCAAGCCTAAAGAACAGTAAAATCATAAACTGGCTCCCTTCTGTCAACTTCTTGGTTGTTTTATTTCCTGTCAAATGGGTTCTAGCCCTGCATGGCAGAAAACTCACCTGCTTAGAGGCCCAGCTGGGGCCAGAATCTCTCTTCTCCAGAAAGGTGTTTCTTCCAAGGGGACAGGCCTCACAGCAGTTGTCATTTCCACTAGGGTGGCTTTCCAGTGCTTTCCTTAGTCTTTCTTAAAAGCAGTCCTCATTTTTAAGGTGTTAGCATTGACCTACAACCCTCATTCTATCAGTGTTTTACATATTCTAGATTTAATATTTGACTAGGAATCTGCTTCTAGAAATATTTTTCCAAGCAGGGTTTAAGATTAAGATGTCTTTTCTGGAAGATTTGCTTCAAATGCAGAATAAGAGGATGAAAATAGTGTCAAAGCAGCAGGAAATAATGAAATCTGGGTTTATGTGAATGGTGGAAATCTCATGAGAGTAATAATTCTTCTAGAATAGCTGGGATTTCATGATAAAATTAGATATCCCCTTGTCACCATCAAACCTAAACTTGCAGGTTTGGCCTTAACCTCAGTCTAAGCTCAGACTTGGCCACATATATGCCTGGATGGGAACACCACCTTCTCCCGTGTTCTTTCAGGCTAGCCCTAGACAACCTTATCCACCCTGTTTTGTCCACACAGACCCATGTGTGGATGGCTTCATTTCTGTGCTCTACAACTGTTCCACCCTGAGTTTACAGAACAGGATAAGCAAAGCTCCCGCAGCCCGTTTCCATTTCCATTTTCTCTGACGACTGGAAGTAGATTCAAGTGGGAAGCTTTGACTAAGAGCAGAGGAAGAGGAGCCCTCCTTTACTCTGGACACTGAAAGCAAACAAAAGCTGCTATGGAAGTCCTCCAAATATTCAAGTGGGACTTAACAGTACAAAGGCCCTATGCCAGCTTGCTTAGAGAGGACCTGCAAAGAGAAGCTGTGGGTGGCGATTAGGCACAATTGGGACCGCCTGATAAATGCTTTGCAAAGGGAATCCCCTCTCTGGTCTATCCCGTGGAGAAAGGAGGGAGTGAAAGAATTTAGTTCCCTCTTTCACAGCAGATACATGTTTATTTTCCTGTTTTAATTAAGACTGTACCCTATAACTGTGTGACTGTAGCCAGAGCTCCACAAAATTTAGTGATGCCAACAGCTGAGGTTTCTTAGTCAGAAACACTTTCTAAGTTTCCTTCCTAACTTGGTTAGGAAGGAGTTCCATTTTCTTTGTCCCAGTCAAAGGTCTGCACCCTTTCACCAGTTCCCAGACACACTTCTCTTAGCCTGTATCCCCGTTTGCATCAAATGCTGTATCTGAAACATTTTGAAGGGTCTGTTCCTGAACAGGGCTTGTTAAAGCTGGGAATAGTTTGGATTTTCTATTAAAATTCTTAAATGAGTGTCTTGCACTTTGCAGCCTGAACACAGTGTTTTGGGAGGAAGTCATGCGGAATCTCTCAGGATTGTGGCCACACCGGAAATGTTAATGTTTAAGACAGAAACAGAAGCAACCAGATCACTGGTTTTGTTCAGTGAATCATTGCTGCTTGCTCTATACATTGCAAATGACTGTGTGTTTCAAAATTCATTCTGGAGCAGAGATTTCCATTTAAAAAGTAGCCCATTAGCCTTTGATTGTCCTGAATAAAGCATTCCATTTGGGATTATCCATCCATCTCACTCCTGGGTGGGCCTAGCTGGTAACTGAGAATTCCAGCTCATTAGGGCTCCCTGAACGTATACCTTCTCCAAACCTATTTTCTAACGCTTGCCAGAGCAATTAGTTCTTTTTACCCATGAAAGGAGTTTGCTGGTGAAAAGAGGCTTGAAGGACATGGAGAGTGGCTCATTATCCACAACTTGGATACAGCCCAGATGCCACCAGTGCAAATTGCCCTTCTTCCCACAGCCTGCCCTGCCCTGCCCTGGCTTGAGTTCACTCTTAGTAATCTTTTAAACAAGGCTGCTAGTGATGAGCTCTCTTCACTCCATGTGCAAACCTGAGGGGGTTTGGGATTTGAGGGTTTTGGAGGGAAAGGAGTGATAAGGGCATCTGTTAAACAATTTGCTGCTAACAGGATTTACTGTTACTGTGAGCTGGCAAGGGTATAGAGCTACCAGGTAGTGTCTTTACAGGCAATACTAAAATATTTGCAAAGGTCAGATAGACAAGGTGGGCAGTTAGTTAAGGGGCCTTACAAGAAACCTGGAGAGGGACTTTTGACAAGGGCTTGTAGGGACAGGACAAGGGGAATGGCTTTAACCTGCCAGAGGGGAGACTGAGATGAGGTCTCACCCTCTTCCCTGTGAGGGTGCTGAGGCCCTGGCACAGGGTGCCCAGAGAAGCTGTGGCTGCCCCATCCCTGGCAGTGTTCAAGGCCAGGTTGGACACAGTGGCTTGGAGCAAGCTGCTCTAGTGGAAGGTGACCCTGCCCATGGCAGGGGGTTGGAACTGGATGAGCTTTAAGGTCCCTTCAACCCAAACCAGTCTGTGGTTCTATGATTCATTCCAATTAGCAGAATGCCTGTTGAAAGCTGTAATTTATAATCTGAGCCTTCAGAAATTCTGCTCCCTTCTTCTCACAGAAGAGCCTTGTCACTAGCCTTTTTTCACAGTTTGATCAACCATAAAAGAACTGATCAGTTTTACTCATTCTTTTCTACCTCTGCTTCCTGAAGTCAGGTTTTCTAATTCATATTTAGTGCCTAAATAAAAGTGACCTGTTCTGGGAGGTTGCTGAACATACACAGGTTCTGTTCAAAATAATGTGAATAGCAGATATATATCTATAGATAAATGGATAATGGAACTTATGTTCTAATAGTCTCACTGAACTTGATGAAGATTTATTGAATAGAGTTTAGCTGTAATGATAACAGCTTGGGCTCTGTATTCATGATAAACCCCCCTAAAATACACAAAAGGCTCTAATTCCTAGCAGCTTATTCCAGAGCTGAATACTGAAGACGCTTATTGCCTTGTTGGATATAAAAGAAATGACAAAGTTCCAGAAAGCTGTAATATTGACAGTCAGGTCTCACAAAGTGAGCACACAGGCAATAATTGCAGCAGGGATCTCCGTATCTGCTTGGGTTACACGCCAGCATGGATAACAAAGAGCAAAGGATTAGCTGAAAATAGCTTCATCTTGAAAAGTGATCTGATCTCTTTGCAAGCCCCAGCAGTATTGTGTTCACTTTTATATCCCCAAGGCTGGTGATTGTTATGGCTGTCTGAGTAGGAGCGGTGATGGACTGAACAAACATGTGGCCAGCAAAACATAATATAAACCCATTGCTGCTCTGTAAATGAGCAGCGAGGTTTCACAGCATTTTCAGTCCCAGCAGCTGGTTATTTGTAACAAATTGCCTTTTAGAAGTAACTGTCTTTGAATATCTGGTAGAAAAACCTGTTAGGCCTCATCAGCATCAGTGAGAACCTCTGTCTATGGAGACATTGAATACAGACTTGGAAAAAGCCCCAAAACCCCACTTGGGGAACAGCCATTCACTTGCAGTAGTTTTACTGGCCTGCTGAATTTAATAATGCTCTTATTGTGCCCACCACAATTTTATCCACAAGAAAAATGTGGGTTTCTATCACAGTGGTTTAGTGCAATAGAACAGAGAACAGACTTTTCAGTATCAGTATTTTGGCTGTTCTCTTCTTTCCAACCAATTTTTCTGACACCTCTCCACTGCTTACTTTGTGATGTGTTACTGGCACAGTGGAAACTTCTCCTGTCCCTGGTACATTCCCTGGCAGTCAGAGAGGTTTCTGCCCATACATTTAGAAACAGCCACACTTTGAAACACAGCTCTGAGTAGCTATAGCAGTGCTGTAGGACTGATTGCTCCTTATTCCCAGTTTCCTAACCTCACACCTCTTGGTTCTGATGGCAGGATGACACTGACAGCATATGTTGCCAAGAGCAGATAAACAGATCAATCTACTGGGCAGATGGCTTCGTTTTTGTTTACTCCATCACAGACTATGAGAGCTACAGAGTGATCCGTCCCCTGCACCAGCACATCCGCAAGATCCACCCAAATGCCAACATCCCTCTGCTCCTGATGGCAAACAAAGGAGACCTCCTGCGAGCCAGGCAGGTGTCCTCCAAAGAAGGGCTCCAGCTGGCCAGTGAACTGGGAGGTACTTACTATGAAGTCTCAGCCCGAGAGAACTGTGAGGGAGTGCATGAAGCCTTCCAGCAGCTATGCCAGGAGGTCAGCAGGATGATCGGGAGCTGCAATGGAGAGAAGCGAAGAGGCCTCCACCTTGTGCGACCCAAGTCACCAAATATGCAGGACTTGAAGAGACGTTTGAAACAGGCTCTCACTTCCAAAGGGAAATCTGCCACTACGCTTTGATGTAGCCAACAGGAATTGCTTTCTACAGCCCTGAAAAACAGGCAAGAAAATAAGCTGGTAATAGGGGGCATTGCTGCAATTCAGCAGTCAGGTTGTGTGAGGGGCTCTTCCAGTTTGTCTTTACATCTTCTGTACAAACCCCGCACACATTCAGCAAAGGAACTTACAGAATTTGCTCTTTGGGGCAAGAAACTGTGATTTAAAAACCAGATTGTCCCAAATTCTTTCCTTTTGAAAGGGACACAGTCAAATAGTTTAGGCTTAAAATGTGGATTTTATTAATAGAAATAATTAAATCCTACTTTTAAGAGAAGTGACTACCCTGGGGGATGGTTGTATTCCCATAGGCAAGAAACTACAGCAAGACACGAGGAGAGTGATGTGACCTACACTGAGCAAGCAAAATTGACCAGATTTGCTTAAGTCACGAGACTGGAAAATAAAGGCAAAAAGTAAATGAAGAGCATAAATAGTGAAAAGTAGTAACTGAAAGCTTTAAATTGCAGTTTAGAAGGTGTTAGCAAGGTGGGGAGAGGTTCGTGCAGATGTAAGCTTCAGCCTCACAGTGTCTCTTCAGCCTCACATGTTTAAAAATCACTATGTTTTTCAGATTATTTTTCTTTAAGCACACATTGACTGTTTCTGAAAGGGATATGGACTGTATTCATCAAGAGCAAGGAGGTGATCTAAAACTGTTGAACTTTTCCTTTCCAAACTAGGCAGATTTCAAGCTCAAGATGCTGTTTTAGAGAAAGAAAACCTTCATGTAAAGTATATTTAATTCATTAGATTCTTCTTTTTTTGAAGGAAAAGAAGAAAAGGATTTATGATGCCTAAAATCTGTGGCTTCAGGAATTCATCATTTTGTTATTTGCCTTAAGACCAGACTTTACACAATACCTCGCAGTGCATCCAAATAACTGGTCTATCCACACATACTTCACTGGCAGCATCCCACTGCATTGTATCTCAGCATGTACAAAGGGATTTCAAGCTGCATCCTGTGAGTTGGCTGGTTTTATGGTAACAATAACAACAACGTGAAACATCCATCATTCTGTGCTCGATGAGAGTAGAAAGAAACTGGGTTGGACCATGTGAAAGTCATGATGCAACAACCTTTGCTTTAAACACAACATATGAGCAATTCACAGGCCCATGAAATGAAGTAAAGCTCCATGATTTACACTCAAGAACAGAGGGAAAACCCTTGTTTGATGGATACAGAAAGATCCTCGCAGCTGCACTTGCAGCTGGCAATACTGAGCTAAATCAACCTTTTACTCATTACAAGCAGTGAAAATGTAAATTGAGTCTGATGAGTATTTACACAGCTCAGGGCTTGAAAATGGGGTTTACATTTTTCTTGTCCCTATATTAGACAGCTCTCATCATGATTTCCCTCATCACCTGGATTTGCTCTATCTACAGCTCACTTTGTGGTTTATTTATTGTTTTCCACAGCTGGTCAGCTGGGAATGGCTTGTGTTCTCATTGACGTAAACTGCTCTTCTTCACACAAAAGGACTGCACCTTTTTTAGCAGTTAGTTTCAATTGGTAATAGGAGGGGAAAAGGAAAGTCAGATCATCCAATGAAGGACTCAAACATATCAGAGGATTTTTACTTTAGCTTAAGGCTATTTAACAGTTCAATGTTTGAACAGTGCCATTATTCAGTGCAGGCACTTTGGGATGGTGTTTAATAGCACTGAATTTCGATATTTGAAATGACTAATAGCAAATATTAAATCTGAAGATTGAGTAACATGAAATAGAGCAGTGTGTGAGCCACACACAAACTGCAAATGGTTTACATTGAGAAAAATGATCCATATTTTGAATAGCAATTAAAAATTTTACCATCCCAGCCTGTGTGTCAGGGGACAAATTTGCCAAAGAGAATTTGCTGACAACCTTTGTTCTCATGAGAGCCTAAGACAATTCAGTGCTCTTGCTGTTCAGTTTGGTTGTAACTTACTCTTGCAGCCCTAATCCTTTCTTATTTGGGGAAAAATGTTCAACAGATTTCCAACCTTTCAATGTTTTATTTTCAATAGTGATTAATAAAAACATTCAAAGCCTTTCCTGAGAGTGTACAAAATGTCTCACATCTTTAAATGTTCCTTGCTTAAACTACACTAGCAATATACTATTTTTCCTTCTACGATCTAATGCACCCTACATGTATTCCTGCATTTGTATTCCTACAGAAGTAAGTATTCCCACATTCCTGTGGCACTGGTGGGGAAAAAAAAGCCTACATTTTAGCCAAGGCCAAGAAATACTGAAACATTTAAGTCTTCTCCTAACTACTAACATGTGGCAAACATTTCTTCTGCTACAGAAACTTTAGTATTTCCTTTGTTCATTGACCAGCAATACAAATCCTGTAAGAGCTTTGATACTGGGTTTAAGCCAGGACATGCCATCTACAGAAGACAACAGAGCTCAGGCTTTTTGTTAGCAGGGCAGTATCCAAGCACTAGGACACATCATTGGGCCACTGAAGCTAAGCAAGGCTGAGGAAGGAGAATGGTATCATGAAAAGCAGGGAGAAGAGAAGGCTATAGAATTAAGTGCCTAAAAATAATCATATAAAATATCAAAGATTAGTCATGTAGAACCTGATCCTGAATTAGAATCTCGAGGCTGCCAAGGAAAAAACATGTATTCTACTGAAAGTTTAAAATTAAGCCTCTAGAGAGAAGGTACTTGGCATAAAGTCAAGAGAGGAGAGGAAAAAAAGATTGGAGAGTGGGTTTTTGGGGGGGGATATCAAGGCAAATTCGCTTCTTTGTTATATTAAGTCCAGATTAACTCCACTGCAAGAAATGCAATCAGCTATAAAACTCACTTTTCTTTTACTCCCATCCCTTTTCATTCTCCTGAGCCATTTAAATCTTGTGCACCATCTGGTTTTCAAGATGGTTTACAGCTGGGTTTACTTGGGCACAAAGCACTTGAGTGATTTGCCCCAAGGTTACACAGCTGAGCAAGTGCTTGAGAGGAACTCACAAACTGTGTCCTTTGTAATTAATTCCCAATGCTTCACAACACCTACCGGACCATACCACCTCCCCCAAGGTATGCACAAAGCACAGCGAGTTGTGTTACAGAAGAATGTAATTAAAAGTTGGGAAAAGTTACTTAAATTATAAGATATGTTAGGAACTGCTTGAGCAAAGCATTGCTGACATCCTGGAACGGGGTGCAATAACAGTAATAGCAAGCCTGGCTTTGAGTTATTGAATTTATTTGTGAATGGCTATTTTCTGCAGTATTCCTGTCAGATGCATTTCTCACACGTTTCCAGTGGTTCCCAATGGAAATACAGTGTGACTTGGGAAAATCAGGCTCCATTTTTAACTTTTCCTGTGACTTGATGATCTTGGCCAGGTCTCTTAATCAAAGTTACGTGTCCGTAAGGATGAGGAAAGATATTAACACATATTTGCTACGCAATTTAGCATCCACAAGACAGGCTCACCAATGAGAAACAAAGGACTTGCCTGCATTGGCAGTAGGGATGGCTTAAACCTTAACATCTGAATTCAGATCTTGATTCTGGACTTCTTAAATTCAGAGTTGTTTGGATCCCATGTTTACACTCAAAACATAGGAACAAATGGAAAACTCAGATCTTGATTTCAAGGAGGAACTCAGCCAGAAATACTTGTATCCAGGGTCCCTGCCTACACACAGGTTTTATGCCAGGTGCGCAGATGAAGAGGAAAGAGTAACTTTCTGAGACATCAAAGAAACTTAGGCTGTACCAGAAAATGGTTGTCTGATTGTTTTACAAGGCAAACTGGAAGGCTGCCAGCATATTGTTCCTGCTGGATTTGCCTCTGCCCATTACAGGCTGGAAGACTTTGGGTCAGAATCACACTGCCACTGCTGGAGCAGCAGTTCTGTCTGCAGAGCCAGCACATGACCCCAGAGCGGCAGAACACAATGACATACTAGCCAAGATTCAACGGTTCATGTATCTTCAGAGTTCTTATGAGCTGAACCCATCTCCTTTGGGGCTAGCACAGGAAAGCCATGCAATTGAAAGCGATAAAGCTCTCCAGTTTCACTCTAAAAGCCCCCAAAACAGGAGCAATGGTGCTAGAAAAGATCTATCACCTCTGGAGACAAAGCGAGACTCTTCCTTTGATCATTTTTCACCCCTGTTCTCACTGGCTGTGCCCTTCCTCATCCCTCTCTGTTCATGCCTTTGTTCTCATTTAGCAAGCAAAACCTCCTGCAATTGTTCTTCCTTTGGCTTAGAAATATAATTTTTGCTGTTTAGTTTAAAATATATTTCCAAGTATTTTAACTCCAAACACAGTTCATAGCAAAAGAAGTGTGTCTACTCAGCCTTTTGACCTTATTTACCTAAAGCATTTTAAAGCACATCTAAATGAAGTCAGTCCAACTGTGTATTTAGACAACCCTTTGAATTCCTGCCATTTCTCCCCAAGTGCTCTCACTGCCTTAGCCCGATATTTCCTTCCCTTGTTTTGTGCTCACAATGTTGAGCTCATTTCTGTTGTGCAGTCACTGCTTACTGAAACCTTTTCAGGTCTTACAAAGTTCTGCTGCTCTTCTCTGAAGTCTCTTTGGTTGAATTAAGCAAGTCCTCTTCTCTAAGCAGTGGTGCAAGTTGCACCTGAGCTCGGAGCAACTGCTGATTTTCTGCTCTGTCAGGTTTTTCCCATTATTGAAGGTTTTGGAATAAACAGGAGCATGGAAAATGATGCAGCAAGCCCAGTTCTAGTCTCCCTTCATCTGTCAGCCTCCTCTGGTGACAATAATTTGATCCATCACAAAGTGAGCAAAGTTTATCCTAAATAACAGTGTTTCAGCACGGGTTCCTACGGATGGAAAAACACCAAATATGAAGCAGGGTTGGTAGGCTCTGCAAACCCAAGTATCTAATTCATTCAGGAGCTGTCAAACCAATCTTCTTTTCCTTAGAAGATGCATTTCTTACATTTTCCTTTTTATCCAAATGGGTTTCAAGACCCAGGCTCTGGATCTCATCACACAGACACTTACTGTCTGCTCTGCAGCAGGACAAGGGGAAGCTGCACACTCTCCAAATGTGATGGGTGAAAGTACGTGAGCCTCATGTTGTTATTATGGATCATTGTGGAGACTGTTCCTAAGGAAAGCAGTTTTCCTTTTCTTAGGTACTGATGCAGAACACAAGCAACCAGTAACTGGTCATTTTGAAAAGGTATTAGTTCTGTTTGCTGAATCTGGAGACACACTGTACCTCCTCGTGGTTAGAAAGCTCCCCAGATAAGCAGGGGTTGGGCTTTTTCTGAGGTAGCCTTTGAACTCTCACGAAAAGAGTTGAATTATATCACTTGCTGACTGCAATCCAGGTTTCCAGATGCTCGCAGGAGCCACCACTCTCACAGTGTTCTGCACTGTATTTCACTTCAAAACTCAGTATTTTCCTATGCCATGATGGAAAAGCGAAACAATTTTGGAATATCACACCACAGTGCAACAGCCTATTCTGTTGCCTGCCTGGTTTTGATGAAGATCATGGGTGTCTGGGTTGCTTTTACATTGTGTTGGGAACTGGAACTTGTAGTCATGCTCTACAAGAAAAGGTGTTTATCATTTCAAATGAACAAGGCTCTTCATTATTTAACCTGCAGAGCAAGGTACCTGTCAGACACCTGAGCAGTTCTGTGACTGTCCTTAAAGAGCAGTGGGATAGAGGAATGAAAGAGAAGCATAAAATCTCAAAATGATGCTCCTATGTGCATTTGATTTCCAGTAAGAGAGACTGACTCTCCCTCAAGCACTGAGGATGTAATGGACTGGTGGCAGTGCTGAATATAGAGAAAGCAGTGATGACAATTCTGGCTCAATAGCCTGTTCTCTCATCCTTTCATTTGGGATGGTCAACATTTGTGAGAAGATCGTCCCAAGGGCAAGGGCACAAAAGGGTTACTGGGAAACCATGGGTTCTCCAAGGCAGAACCAACATGATGTTTTTGTGGGCTACAGATCTGGAGGTGCTCTGCTGAAATAGAAACCAGAAGCCAGGCCTTGGAGACCATCAGCATTACCCATCTACATCCCTTCAGAGCAGTACTGAAACCACCATGTCTTTGTCACAGTCCAGCCTATGCGGTTCCATTATGCCTATGTTAAAGTCACTTCTTCTCCTAAGGGACTATAGCAATACTGTTGGTCTCAGTGTAGGCCATTCTTATCCACCCTTTTAACTGCCAAGACCACCTATGGAGTCCAGAGTCCACGAGCTAGTACAAAATACCAAATATATCTGACTAGTGTTCATCAATCTGTGCTGGAGAGCAATAACTGGCTTTCAGAAGAGCCAGAATCTGCCAAAATTGCAGCTTTTAAAACTCACAATACATATTTGTGTCAGGGTTGTGAAATGATCCATTTCTCTTCTGCTGGCGTTATTTATTAGTCAGCTTTAAAGAAAGCAAGAAGTTTTGTTTCTAAATCCTGAGTACTAATCATTGAGATTCCTCTCTTTATCTATTTTTGTGTTCTTAATTTTAGCCATTTGCACTTCTGAACCTCGCACTGGAAATGAAGAGAAACAAATGGAGCCAAATGTTCATCTCTTATTATATGTTTGGCAATGCACATTTCCCCACACTGCAAATACATCCCAACACTGGAAGAACCAAGAACCATGAGCAGGGCTGAGAGGATACACTCAGTTTGCAAATCCCTCAACCCCCGTGCTGTGGCTACTGGTAAAAGCCACTAATAAGACATGAATATACCTCTAAAAATCATCAGTGCTCATCACCACCTGTTTACACATGGTTTGCAAGAAGCTTCAAATCAGAGGCTTCCCAGGATGAGGGGAGAAGGCTGTCAAGGGGTTAAACATTTCCTGCCTTTAATCTAGAATCACGTAATGTGGAATGAATGTTTCAGCTCAAACTGCTTCCTTGCTCTGACAGTTTCATGGTGTGAGGTCAAAGTGTGGGAGAGTTGGGGAGAAAAGAGGGGAAGCATGGGGCGGTGAGCTAATAAACCCAGAGAAACACATAGACACCCAGAGAAATGAAGAGGATGGTTTCTCGAGCAGCTC